AATTTTCTAGGAATTTACATTTATCGAATGCGAGATCCAAATTATTTAGTCCTCGCACTCAATGAATGCATAAACAATTATTTTTTAAAAAATAAGATTGTACTAGACATTGCATTTAGTAAATGAGATATCTGCAAAATAAATATTTTTTTAATTAAAATATTTAATTTTTTTAATTAAATATTTAGTACTCGAAGAAAACAAATATTTTTTAAATTTTTATTTGAAGGATCTCGCATTTACTAATAAATGCGAGCTCCAAGAAAACAAATTTACTATTACATGCGAGCTATAAAAAAAACAAAAATATTTTTTATATTTACTTTTTTTAGGAGCTCGCATTTACTCATAGAAAATAAATATTTTTTAAAGGAGAGCTCTGACAGGACAATATTTTTCATTTCGTGACAGCTCTAACATAAACAAAAAGAAAATGATGTCTTTGTTGATGGATTTCAATTTTCAACAATCAGTGCATTATCATATGAAAATGATGGTTATCTACTGCCTATTTCTTTACATCCTTATTAGCACTGATAAACAAACACTATATTGAGATTCCTTTCCTACGCTATGACAATAAACTGCTCCCTGGGGCAAGATAAATATTCATCTTGCACTTCCTTTGGTCTAAAAGCAAGGTTCGTCAACTGGCTTCAAGTAGACATACTGAAATATTAGCAAATTCTGCCATCTGTGTCTTGAACACTATCTTTGGCTTTACCATTTGCTATGACAGGCAAATTCTTCAGTTCTTCAGAGAGCACGAATGTTCCCTTTCTTGATTTTTTCCTGTTATCTTTTCCATGAACAAGTGATACTAAATTTCTGAATATGGATTTTGTTGTAGATAAACTGTAATTCGTTGTACCTTTCTTATGTTGCTGCAATGGATTCCAGTTACCTGAAAAATGTGTAATCTGATAATTGTACATGTCATTTTGCAGGCACTGGATGCCTTTAATACAGCTGTCGTGTCCCCAGTATATTATGTTATGTTTACATCCCTCGCCATCCTAACTAGCATTATAATGTTTAAGGTACTTTCATTTGGCTTTTATTATTAGCTTTTTCCTTTCGTGTATATATATATATATACATATATATATATTTTAGTGTTGTGGATTGGGAGGAGGAGGGACGAATCAGAGCAACAAAAGGCTGACTTTCAAACTTTTCATGCAGGACTGGGACAGTCAAAATGCATCGCAAATTGTCTCTGAAGTATGTGGCTTTGTGACTATCCTGTCTGGAACATTCCTTCTCCACAAGACCAAGGACATGGGAGGTGTAAGCAGCACTAGTAACACGCCCGTGCCATCTCCTGTATTCCTGGCATCACGCCAGAATTCTGCGGTCTGAGCTTTGAGATGAGATCGCATTCTGCGGTCTGCGGTTTGAGCACAGTGACCTCGCATTTAAGAGATGCGAGGTAACTGACCTCGCATTTAAGAGATGCGAGGTCTGGTTTTCTTTTTTCTTTTTTTTTTTGGATTTCGTTGGAGGAAAATTCAAGAGACTTCGCATTCAGCAAATGCGAGTTGAGGGAGCTCGCATTTGCTGAATACGAAGATCCCTTGGATGGAATCCCACACTCAAAATGCCCCATTTGTAGAATTTTTTTAAAATTTATCATAATTTTAGAAATTTCTCATCAACTTATACAACTAAATTGATGCACAGTTTATAATTACTTCAAAATTGTACTAAGTTTATACCAGAAGTAATACAAATTATAATAATCAGTTTGAACTCGACGTTTTTCAACTTGTGAGGTCAGATCCCTAACACAGACTGATTTTTTGCTATATATACATGTCATCTTTACTCTTTTCAAACACGAATTGCAAAGAGATTAAAGATTGGAAATGGCTAAATCTCAACTGATCAGCTACAAGACCTTGGTTGCAGTCCTCTTCTGCTTTCTCCTCATTGCTTCAATCAGTTAGTTGTCAAAAACTTCCACTATTTATACCAAACTTTGCAGTGAATCACGCACCTGAAGTCATTCTTTATTCCAATTTCCCAAGTATGTAATGCTCTGGCATGTTGTCATTTATCAATATTACCATTACATAACAAAATTTTAAAAAGAATCAGTATAGTACTTAACTACTAATAATAGTCTTAAGTCCAAGAGAGATTATCAAAGTTGGATATAAAAATGCAACTCTCTTACACTACATAAACTAATGGATTTTTTTTTTATTTTCTGAAATGCGGTCATCAACTTTTTCTTTTCTGTCAACCGGCATTTATAACTTAGCCCCTCACTTGTTCTCGTTCTTTACTTAGGCCTACTATACTTCCTTATGAAAATTAAGAGTTGCATGAAAACCACATATTTACATTAATCTTTAGGGCCCTTTAGAAACTATTAGAAAGGGTAAACTTGATTTAGCTTTACTAAGCATTATGCTCTGATCGCATAAACAAAAACAATTAACATAAAATCTGAAAATTTTTTGATCTGTTTGTTAATGTTATTTCTTGTTATCCTAATATTAGAATATTATGCAAGAATCTTGTATTGAATTTTATTTTCTAATATAAAAGGTCATGTAAAGTCGGCTGCCACAGATGACCATGGCAAGGTGCCAGCGAAAGTGATTGGGAAGACGTCTACCTTGCGGCTGCAGATGGCCGCGGCTGAGCCTCAGGCGGGACCGATACTTACGAACCTTGTTCCTATCAGCACGAAGGATAATGTGGGAGGGCAGTCCAACGAGAGTCTTGATGGGGCAGTTATGCGACCACCCACTATAGATATGCATCCAGATTTTGCTGTGGGGAAGAGTGTCGCGGCTGATAGTCAGGCAATGGCCGCCGTGGAAGAGACAAGCGAAGGGGAGGTGACTGCCTTGCCTGGGACTGGTGAGGGGAGCATCAAATCTAGTGGAAAGGGGATGGCAAAGGAGGCTGGTGGGGTGCAAGCAGAAGGGCGGACAGCAAGGGATTTAGCTGACGCAGGGAGGACTGAGGAACTACAGGAAACTCAGCGACGGGTGGGAAATTTATCCCCTAGGGGCGGATGTCACAGGAATGCTGTTCAAGGGGAGGCGTCGCTGCTGGAAACATTGCATATAGACCCGGTGGTGATCTCTGGCAACCATGAGTAGGAGAAAATGGGACTGAAGGAGATGTCCTTTGCAAAGTCGCGAGGTATTCGTGCAGGTTTCCCTTCTGATAGAACTCTAAGATCCATGGTTAATGCATCAACAAATTCCTTCTCTGTCTTATCTGATGATTAAGTTGCTTTTTTGGAATATAAGGGGAGTGACTTGAGCTCATAATTTAAAAAGACTGAGAAAACTTATCAAACTGTACTCATTACAATTAGTGGTAATTGTTGAACTAAAGACGGGGTTGGAGAATATTACTGATATTAGACTAAAGTTGGGGATGGACTGTTGCATAACCAATCAATGGGGTTCTGTTTGGGTGTTTTACTGGTCTTTGTTTAACTGTCAGAGTATCGGGAAGTCGCCCCAATATTTAACTATTCAAGTACAATCTCACCTATTTCCAGCTTCCATTAGTTTGTCATGTATTCATACTAAACGCACGGACCAAGAAAGGGATTTCAATGTGATTACAAATGAGGGGGAAAAAAGGGGCAGTTTGCCATTCACACCGACGGAAGGATTGGATTTCTTGAATTTCATGTCAGTGGCGGGAGTGAGTGATGCGGGGTACTCTGGGTCGAGGTATACCTGGTGTAATAATCACTCGGGTGCAGCTCGGATTTGGAAGCGCCTTGACATACTACTAATAAGTGAGTTAGCTTTGGAGATGCAGCAACAAGTCATGGTCCAGCATTTGGGGCGTGATCCATCAGATCACTCCCCGTTACTACTCTTAGGGGTTACGAGGTTGGACAATAAACCCAGGCCATTTCGCTTTTTGAATGTTTGGACCACACATAAGGACTTGTTGGGGTGGTTAAAGATTGCTGGTCTTAATCAGTCAGTGGGTGTCCCCTGCATATATTGGCAACGAAGCTTCAGAATGTTAAACAATTTCTCAAACAATGGTTTAAGAATTTGTTTGGTGATATTTTTGAGGTAGCTCGATGCACAAAGCATGAGGTAGTGGATGCCGAGATGAAATACGACCTGAATCCCTTGGATCAATTGCGCTGTGAGCTGCATCATGCTCGAGGGCGGCTACGGCGCGCGCTGACACTCGAGGAGGGTTTTTGGAGGCAGAAAGCACGGGTGAAGTGGCTTTTGGACGGGGACAGGAACTCTAAATTCTTTCACTTAGTGGTAGTAGAAAGGAGACGTTGGGCAGTGATTCATCGGATTAGGAAGGCGGATGGAGAGTGGATCGAGGAGGAGCCACAGATTGGTGATGCGGCGGTATGCTTCTTCCAGGAGCTTTTCAAGGCAGAGGGAGGCTCGACATCCAATGAAATTTTAAAGTTCATTCCGAAACTGGTCACTGCCCAGGACAATTCGCTGTTAACGGAGATTCCTTCTCTTCAAGGCGTCAAGGACAAAATCTTTGCACTGGATGAGGAGAGCGCAGCGGGCCCAGATGGATTCACATGGAAATTCTTCACCTTCGCATGGGAGATGGTAGCCACGGATGTGTACAGGGTGGTAGTGAGATTTTTCTGCGGTGCTGAGCTCCCTCAGAGTATCACAGTTACCTCAATTGTTCTACTGCCAAAGGTGGAAAACCCACAAGACTTTACTCAGTTTCGGCCCATAAGTCTGTGCAATTTTGCTAGCAAAATCATCTCCAAGTTTCTATCGGAGAGATTGGCTAAGATATTACTCCGGATCATATCTCCACAGCAGAGCGGTTTTGTGCAAGGGCGACAAATTGCGGATAATTTTTTGCTAGCTCAGGAGTTATTAACAGATATCAAGAAGACAAATCGAGGTGGTAACGTGGTGATTAAATTAGACATGATGAAAGCATATGATAGAGTCTCATGATATTTTCTTCTGCAAGTGCTTCGTCACTTCGGGTTCAGTGAGACTTAGATAGACATGACATGGCACTTGGTCTCTAATGTCTGGTTTTCGGTATTGGTTAATGGCTCTCCACAAGATTTTTTCAAGTCTTCATGGGGCTTACGACAAGTGGATCCCATATCGCCAGCCTTATTCATTATTGAAGCAGAAGTGTTGTCTCGAGCCCTAAATGCTTTAGTCACACAGTGGCGATTCACCCCTTTTAAACTACCTCCTCATTGCCCTGTAGTATCATACTTGGCGTACGATGATGATGTTATCATATTCTCCAATGGTATGAGATCTTCTCTAAAATTGATTAAAAGGGTACTGGAGGAATATAGTGTTGCATCAAGCCAATGGATCAATCCCCAAAAAAGCTGCTTCTTGACTCATCCGCGGTTTCCGTCACAGAGAGCAGCATTGATTGGATAGGTACTTGGGTTTCCAAAGCGAGCTTTCCCGATACTATACCTAGGATGTCTGTTGTACGTAGGAAGGCGAAAAAAGGTTTACTTTGCAGATATATATAATGCAGTGGCGGCTCATATCCTGTCATGGATGAATCAGGTTTTGTTAGCCAGAGATAGAGTGGTATTGATTAAGACTGTGTTATCCTCAATGCCGAATCATTTGCTCACAGCTTCTTCTCCTCTAAAGGGGATATTCGTGGCATTAGAGAAGTTATTTGCAAATTTCTTATGGGGTCATCTGATTTTGGTACTAAATTCCACTAGATGCGGTTGAAGGATTTGTGTCGGCAGCGAGAAGAGGGGATATTGGTCTACGTGGTATTAGGGAGGTCTACGACTTAATCTCGATTAAACTCTAGTGAAAATTTTGACAATAGCAGTCGCTATGGGCAGAGTTTATGTCAAGAAATTATTGCGTGGGGTTGAATCCTTGTCTAGTTGAGGATAGCCATTGGAGTTCCCGTACGTGGAGGAGGATGGTTGCGGTGCAGCAAGTAGGGGAGGACCACATTAGCTGGATCGTACAGCAAGGATCGATGGATTTTTGGCTTGACAACTGGATGGGATCAGGAGTCTTATGCAACAAGGTGGAAATCTTCCATGACCATTTGGTGGCTGATTTTGTCGATCGGGGGGGCTGGAATGTCGCCATGCTTAATCAGTATTTGGATGCCGCTCTAGCAAGGTGAGTTCTGGAGGTTGCACCCCCATCCTCCCATCCTTTTAGGGCAATGATAGAATGGTTTGGACCTTGACAAATTCTGCCACCTTTTCCACATTATCGGCGTACTCACTTGTCGAACGGGTTACTAACAGCTCATGGCTTTCTGCCTTTGTCTGGCAGCAGTCTTCCAATTAAAATCTCTTTCTTTATGCTGCGACAGCTGCAGGGCGGGCTCCCTCTTAAGGACCAATTGAGGAGATTTGGGATAAGCAGCCCCTCTAGGTGTTGGTGTTGCCAGGATCCACGGGAGGAGGACCCGAATCATGTTTTTTGTTCAAGAAAAGGGGCAAGATTGGTTTGGTGTCATTTCGAGATTAATGTTGGTGAAATGAGGGAGGTGAATACGGTGCGACATATGGTATGGTTTTGGTGGTTAAGGAGAGGGGATAACATATATTTGAAGTTTTTGAATAGTGTTCTCCCGTCGGTGATTTGCTGGGAATTATGGAGGACAAAGAATAGGAAGGTTTTTGAAGGACGGAGAATGAGGGTCAGGGAAACTGTGAGTCGGATAGTCCAATTGCTAAGTGACATCTTTCATGTACAGTTCCCGAGGATTTAGTGGTCAGATTCCTCGTGGGAAAAGATGCTTCGAGAGTTGGTTAACCGACAAAAGAGGATGATCATTCAGTCGGTCAGGTGGGTATCCCCGCAGGGGGGGTACAAGTTAAATTCGAATGGATGTTCTCTGGGGAACCCAGGATTGAGTGGAGGAGGTGGTCTAGTGCGTGATTGTCTAGGTAATTTTGTATTTGGTTACTCGGAGCACTTTGGGACAATGACTAGTCTGCATGCGGAGCTTCGGGCGCTGCTACTTGGCGTTAGATACTGTATTACTCGAGGGTACTTGGAGTTACACTTAGAGGCAGATTCTCTTACCCTTATTTGGATCGTTCAAGGGGTTAGTGCTTGCCCATGGCAGTTGCAGAGGGAGCTGGATGAGTTGCTTATGTTTAAACAACATTTTCAAATGATTTCACATTGTTACAGGGAAGCGAATGCTCCTGCTGACCGTCTTGCAAATTTGGGTGCTGATTCTAATGCAGGTCAGGTGTTTAATAGGTTTTCAGATCTATCACGATTGGTCAAGGGGGGATATTGGAATGGATAAGTTAGGGTTTTCATCATTTCGTAGACAAGTAATTGGTTATCTGTGAATGTATTCAGCCAGTGTAAGCATGATTACAACATTAATGGAAAGTTCAATTTTTTTCAAAAAAATAACGGACAAAAGCACTCTTCATGTCCAGTTGGCTATTGTATTGCATGGAGTGAGATGTGATCGTACATGAAGTATCTAAATAATTTTGGGATATGATGTATGTGAAAAAAAACTATTTTTTGGAATATTATTTATATATCAATTATGTTTGGTACTTTTTTCTTTACTCTTTACTTTGTTCCATTTTACATTTTTCTTATTCTTTTCTGTCTTGTATGACTAGTTATTTTAATTTTTTAGTATTATTATTCGTATAGCATTTTTAATGAACTTCAACTTATTCTCTTTTCATCTCTTTTCTATGTTCAATTATTAGTAGTAACAATAATTGCAAAGCATATTTTGTATGGTATTCAAATTATTTAGGTATATCTAAAACAAATGAGCTTATAACAAATCTAATTATTAGTAGTAAAGTGGCAATTAATAAGATTAAAATAAAAACAAAAATATTAGTAGCAGTATATTATTCGTTAACGACACTTTTTTAGAAATTTTTTACTCATTTGAGAAGATAAAATTTTTGTACTTTTTGTTTTCTTTTTGGAAAACAAAATTATTCTAAATAATATTTTGCTTGCACTACAAACACAATTTCCAATCAACTTTTTATTTTTCCAATCATTTTTTTTTACATACATCACATCCCAAAATATACTACAATAGTTATTTCAAATAATTTTCTTCTTGGATTGTGAATAGTCCATGAAGTGCATAGAGGTGCTATTCTTCCACACCTACATCTTGAGCAGAAGTTTGTTGCTTCATATGCATTGCCTGAGCTACAACTGTTAGGATTGTGCTCCATGTGTGTAGAAAACTGTGCAGCATCTGTGAAGAAAAGGAAATAAATGATGTGATGAAGATGATAATAAATGAGCAGAATGGACAAGTGACGGTAGGTGGAGATAGCCATTTATACTCATTTGGAAGAAAGGCAATTTTGTTAGGAAATTTCAACAGACAGAGCTTGCAAGACACGCGCTTTGTTTGACCATGAAATTTGTGAATGATAGTTTTCTTAGGGTGCAAAGTACCTATAAACATACTTTGGGATGTATTGTGCAATAGTTATAAAAGTTCAAGACAGTTTTTTGCATTTAACCTTTATTTTTATCTTCTGCACAAGAACTATATTGATCAAAACTTTAAAACATGGAGGTTTTTGACTTAATGGGAATTAGGTTGTTTGTTAGAAAGAAGCTGCAAAATGGACTAGAGAAAGGTGGAGGCGGTTTGGGATGTAAAGATTGGTAGTTGATGGAAATTTTGTTTTGAGAAAGCATTGAGGTTGAATTTCTTTGAAATATTAGTGTCTGTTTAGGGTGAGAGTTTTGGGGCAAGGTGAAGAGCCCTGGTTGGGATTTTTTGGCTGCTGGATTGGTTTGATTATATTGGATCAAATTTGGGTTTTCTATATCGGCAGAAGTGTGGGCCTTCCAACCTACTTACTTTAATCCTTAAAGGATTCCCTTGATTGGGAATATATTATAATTAAGATTTAATATTAGCAATTAGGAGTGATCTTTACCTATAACTATCCATTTAATAATAGAAGAAAAGGGCAGCTTCCACACCACATTAAAAAAAAATGCAAGCTTTAGTTGGGGAAGCGCTTGAGCACTTATGAAGCTTGGGTTGACAATTGGATATCCAGCACTGAAAATCGTTTTTACATTGGATGGTTTGGTCTTTTGATGATCTGAAGTTTGTTTGGAACATAAATGGTTCATGGAGTTGAGGAAGGAATTAGGAAACTTTGTTTTCTCCTTTTTTCTTTTCAATTTAAAAAGGGTAATTTAGGATATTTGAAAAAAAATTTAGTTTGACATTAAAAGTCAGGGAGGTTTGTGCAATTTTAAAAATTTGAGACGAGCAATATGAAATTTTTAGAAACCACAAGGAAGGTTCTGAAATTATTCCCTAATAATAAGCTTGTGGTCTGTACTTATTGGTAGGGTGAGAAATTTTATTCAATGTAGTAGGGGGCAGGGTCAGAGCTATTTACATTTGAGGGTGGGTAATTGCTCCCTCAAATTTTTAAAATTTCCTTTTATACCTTACAATTATTGTCAATTGTATTTTTATTTAGTTATAGTTTAATAGTTTGTATCCTCTCAAACTACCGAAATTGTGTATTGCACCCCCACAAACAAAATAATAGTGGGTACTTACTAAAATTTAAATTAATCAAAACCCCATTATAATAAGAAACAAGTGAAGCAAAATCCAAAAAATATGAAATAAGATAATACATGTATAAAAAGTCAAATGATATGATATTAGATTGAAAGAAATATTAAAGGGATAGCCAATTATATTTATTGTATTGAAGAGATAAAAGAGCTAATTATGGGGAAAGAAGAACAAAGAAAAATACACGTAGAATATTTCTACGTTACAAAAGATTTCTCAGAATATTTCTTTGTTTGCTAAATTTGAATTATGCTATACTATTACTTCTTTATTTGGTTGATTTATTAACTCACTCTCTGATGATTTGTAATTGTATAACTTATTTGGGTATTAAATACACTGCAATTTAATACTCACTGATTGTGCATATAATTTTGTAAAACACAAATACTAGTTATTCAACTAACTAATAAAACACGAAGAAATGATAATTCTAATTTTGCTTTTCAAGAAAACATTTCTTAAGATTAGTCGCATTATGCTAACTATCAATTAATAGTACAATATATTACCCATCATATAAGAAATTAGGCGTTTTCGCATCTTGTAGTTGTCCATACCATCAAGATAGTTGTTTTGAGCCTTGACCAATTCCAACTACCATCAATATTGTTGGCTCTCAATTCAATCCTTATATTGACCAACAATAAACAATTGTCCCTCGTGATTTTGGTCATGACTCCACCATTTTGGTCGTGACTCCGCCATGCTTTGTTTCACTTATGAGTTACAAAGGAGGAAACAAAGAAAGGAAATACAAAAAAATTTCTCATCCTTTTGTTTTTTATGCATGCATACGTACAATCGTGCCATTCCTTGGAAATTTGCTCATACCATACTATTGTGCTATTTTCTCTGAAATTTTCAACAATCATGCGAGCAGTAAGAAACTATTTCTAAAGAAATGGCACTATCAAAGATATATTGACTTATATATTATAATCATGCTGAAGCTCCAAGGAAGATTACTTGACAAAGAAACGTTGGGGAAGAATAATTTTATCTGAACGACTTTTTTAGTGGCATATATTATGTCTTGCACACAGGCAATTAAAATTTGAATATGGAAGTTGAAGATTAATACCTAATTACTCCGTGTGCTTTTGAATTAAAAGGATGAAAATTTTGTTTCCAAGAATGGCATTTACACAAGGAGGCGTCACCTAATATTTACATCCGGCTACAATATTTCAGTTTTACTCTAATAGTATCTCGAGGCATCCTTTTAGAGCAAAACTATAGAAAGTGTTTGTTTCTTGTTATAAATGTTTCACGCAACTTGATAATTTGACTCTCATTTATTATAACAGCCTGATGTATGTTGCGTATTGGTGTAGGGTGAACATTACTATGGATGCAAGGTTTGATTTGGTAGAGCTAATATAATACATGCGTGGATCGAAATCAAGGACACTATATTACCATTAGTCAACTATCCAAACTTATTACTAATTAGCGTACAGGTTTGGTGTAGTTGGCAGGCTACCTCTAATATTATATTGTCTGCGACTTTGTCTCCTCAAGATAATCGAGACGGGATCAAATAAAAGTTATTATATCAGGGTTAAGAACTATTTCCAATTATTTACCAAACTAGGTTTTCAAGATTACCAGTGAATACTATTTCTTTTTTCTTTTTCTTTTGCATTGGAGATCTAAAATCCATAATGACGTAACCAAACTCTTAGAGCCAGAATCAACTAATTAAAAAAAAAATATTCAAAGTTCCAAAAACTCTAATACATGTCAAAGTTACACAAAATTTTTTTCCCATCTCTCCACACCTTTTCCACCTCCAATTGGCAGGCATGATATTTGAACCCTGAATCTAACAGTAGAAAAGATTTTGAGTGCAGTGAGTAGACTAATCTCACAAACAATCGATAAAAACAAGATTCTTCAGTGGTAAGCCTTCAAGTAATTGATGAAATAAGCACCAGATCTCACAAGATCTTTCTCAAGAAACAAAATTTTAAAGAGTTTTTCCTGTAGTTTAATTTTTAGTAACAAGTAATGGCATATTTTACGAACACAAGGCGTTTGAAGAAGGGAAAGACATTGAACTAAAGTAATTACGTGCAATAAACCATGAAAATTAGGGGCTGAAATTAGAAAACGATTCTTTCGAAGGAAGACAAAAGTACGCGTTAATCCTTAACAGGACACTGACTGCGATTTAGAATAACACTATGCTGCGAAGGATGTCCAAATTTAGTTCCCCACAATTATTAACTTGGCTCATATTTTGCCCCTACCTCTTTTCATAGTCCCTCTGATAGCAAAGATGAATTATCCTCCAACTCAAATCATCAAATATTATAATGCATCTTGAACAAAAAGAGGGATCAACTTGTTCCAAAATTCTTCTCTCTACCTCTCCTCTTTTCCAACTTCTCTCTACTTCTTATTCTCTTCTCAAAATGCCTTCTTTTCCACATTCCATTTTTACCTTTTTTTTTTAAAAATAAAGTCTCACCTATGATTTCTTATTGAGATTCTCTATTTCTCTAAAAAATTCCTAGTCAGATTTTTCTAGTCCCCTAGGAGTTCTTAGTGAAAGTAGTTCTTTTTCTTTTTTGTTATTAGATTTAAATTTATTTCAAATTTTGTTATCAGATCTGGAATTCATTTGGATCTTGAATCTATATCAATAAATCTCATCATCATTATTCGAACTTATTAAAGCAGTTGATTAGTAGATTTAATGATGATTGCAGTGATTTAACTTATTAGAAAACATTTTCAAATTTCTTGTCTTTTTCAGATCTATTTGTAATTTTTCATTTTAGATCTGTTATTTCTTGCATTTTATCCTACCATGAGTGAAAATTTCTGTGATGTAAAATAAATTATGCTAGACAATTTTCAACAATTTCTTTAATGAAATTCACTTTTTATGCAAAAAAAAATGTTCCCAAAAGATCAATCTGAGGCTAACAACAAAATCAATCATTCAAGATATTCATAAATAGAAGTAAACTTACTCAAGTAGAAATCTTGTAGGCATGTGTCTTGGCATATTAGTAGAATTTTTAGGTGCTTTCATCAGTTACAGGTTCTAGGTATTTACCTAAAATATATATATATATATCATAACTATTTTGTTAGGTGTCTTTAAGTGACAAATTGGGATTGAATGTCTCTATTTAGCTCAAGGGTCCAAATTGGTTCAGCCCATGTGGCCCTCTAGTTCGACCGATTGATGCTAAGAATCAGCCACTGTATTTTCAAGTTTAGTTGTATGTTCCGACAACTCTGTCCCATGCTGCAGCATTAACAATTATGTCATTAAACAAACCAATTGATTTTTTAGCACATACACACAACTTTTGTTCTAATACTCAATTCACCTTTTTCAAGTTATTAAATATCTTAGGTGAGCTGACGTGGTTTCTTCATGCGTGGATTGATGAAGAAAATGATCTATCAACATCCTCACTACAGCTTGATCAGTAATCTATGCAAGTGTATAGCCCACTTGCTAGAAGATTTCAAGTATTCACGTATATAGTAATCCTCAAATAAATCAATGTATCTTATTAAGACGGTAGGAAATTAAGCTATCTTTTGATCTGTTCAAATTTTGTACCGGTCCTAATGCTATTAATTATGTCCTTGGATAAGTGATGTTTGCTGAATGTACCGGTCCTTATTCTATTCGTACATTTCCTTTTGTTTGATCTTCCACGGATATGAATGATTCAAATTTCAACGTATATCAAGTTGTTGAAAAGCTCGCTATATGTGCCCTGCTATAAATTCTTATCATCCTTGATTTTTTTATTCCACGCGCTTGGTAAAATACAAATAATGGACATGGTTAAATCTCAAGAAAACTTAAATAGATCATAGGTAAAAAGAATTCTAAAAACTTATATTTCATCTTCCTTTACTAGATAGTCTTGGTTGTCAGAAAATAAAGCACAAGAATGTGCATTGAAAACTTGAGGGATATGGGGTTCAAGTTTCAATCCTCAATATAAATTTTGGACAATGTATATATGTATGTATACATTTATATACATGTATATGTGTGTGCAAACTGTATATGTATCATGCATGCAATAGCTCAATTATCAGCATTCCATTGCTGCCGTCCTTTCTGCCTTGTGGCTTCTACATTCGAAATTGATGTACCAAAATTCGGCATGCGTCCATCGATTGTATGTGAAAATGATGTAACCGTCGATCCCGCAACCAGATGAGTTTATACTTAAGCTTTGCGACATTATGCTAATGTTCATTATCTTTTCCACTAAAAGAGGTTAGAAATTGCTGGACTTAAAAATTTCAAATCTTAATGATGTTGATGCTTTGTTTAAACTCCTTTCGTAAGCTAATTCTGACTTAGACTTTGTCTTAATTCTTTGATATTTGTAGCTTTCTCTTAACAACTCAGCGATAAGAAGTTTCAACACAACTACCGATTAGGTTTTGGCAAATTGCACCATCTCTTGCTATAAATAGTTATCATCATTAACTTGTGTTCTCACAAGCATAGCTAACATAAGATATCGGAGATGGCTAAATCTCAATTTAGCTGCGCAACCTTCTTTGCCCTGCTCATCTGCTTCCTCCTCCTCGTACCAAATAGTAAGTTGTAGCTAGTCTTTAGTAAGAGAGTTTACACTTCTATAGTCTTAAATGGTGAACACATGCATAGAATGGCGTATATTTGTACATTCCCAAAGTTTTAATTATTTGTCTCTACCTCTCTCTTAGTTAGAGAACTTCGAGTAGAACAAACAGAAATGGTTGTCACTAGCAATGAATTAGAATAGTTATAAGTGTGTATCATGTATATGTACACTCACAATCAAAATTTTACGAACTAATTTGTATTACATATGCGCCGTATGCTTTTCAATAAATGTTTTTGCTTAAAGTTTAGCCCTGTACTCTGCTTTTGAATTTTCTCTCGCGCTTTCTAATTTCTCGTGACATGTAATTATACTGCAAGTATACATGTATAGTGTTGCGAATAACAATACATGTGGCATAAAAATAGAAAATGGGATAAAGATTGACACAAAAAATGACATAGAGGAACCATGCCCTGTAATACTAACAAACACCTATCCCTTAGGTGGACGGGCTAGATCCCTGATATATACCATACACTTTGGACTAACTCTAATGTTTTGCTCTCTCTTTTGCTTTGTTTCATGCAGAGATGCCAATGGCTGAAGCTTCATTTTGCAAGAGGCTTGCCAAGAACTGGTCCGGGGATTGTTCCTCTGACAGGTGCTACAATTATTGCAAGTATACAGAGCATGTTTACTCCGGAGAATGTAATTGGACTGGCAATGGTCAGCATCGTTATTATGCTTGCTACTGTGTCTACAACTGTTGAAAGCCTACTATTTTCTGCAATTTGCAACGTACTTTGTATTCAAATAAAGGCGAACAATTCACTAGAATTGCATATGTGCCGCCAATAGTTGTTGTTCCTATGTCAGTTGCTAATAACGTACGGTGCTGTCTGTGTTATCATTGAAAAATCACTGCTCAGTGATAACTTAATCAGTCTATCCATGTGTGTCTGTTGCGATCTGTCTTGTATTCATTTAAATATAAATGGACTACCTCTGTCCAAGTATAAGGGTCATCTTCTGTGATTTCAACTTGTTATGAGTACATGTGATTATTATGTTTGGACTCTGATAAACACCAAAAATATCTGCTAAAGAATTGGATGCAAAAAAAAAAGTCTAATGAAAAAAAAGAAAGAAAGTCATATGCACAACCAATATTCTCCATGAAAAACAAAAAATAAACACTGATTGAAATATAAAAATTGGCCTTGAAAATCTTGCACTCCCTATGTGCCATATTTGAGGTTTTTTTTTTTTGTTTTTTGAAAATCAAACTTTTTAAGAAAAAAAATGTAATTATTAAGTTTGAATGTACTGATTTTGGATGAACCTTAAACATGGCCCTCACATGGAGTGTAGTGGCACGCAAAAGGTATTTTTTTCAAATGGTAAAATGGAAAGTTGTGTTGATTTTGAAAAGATGACCCTTTGTTTGGAATATCCAAAAGGTGAAAACATGACACTAAAAAAGGATGGTTATTTTACCATTTTACTGTTTTACTTTCCTTTTTATTTTTTTTGAAGGTTTCCGTTGACTCTGGCTTAGCTTCCTTTAGTTTAGTTGAATAGAAAACCGAAGACCATGTACTTTATTTGTTTTCCATTAATTGACATCAATAGGGTGGGACACATTATAAAAATTCATAATTTTTTCAAAGAGTGAGTTTGTAGGAGTTTTTGGTGAGGCACGGGCCCCAAGTGTAATTTTTTTTAAAAACTGGAAGTTGGGAAAATGTAAGGGAATAATAAATATTACTGCATGCTAAAGAAATACAAAATAAAAATTAATCAAAGCCATAAATAGGTATAATTATTCTATAATTAAAAGATTGTATTGTCTTGGTTATAGGGACTGTTTTCATTTTCTTTTACATCTAGATTTTAGATTTTTTTTTAAACCAAAAAGGTCAAAATCTAGAATATACCTAGGACTTAACTTAATTGATTCTGATTTTTTTTCTCCATAATTACATTCTATGATCAACTATTGCAAAATTTACAACAAACAAGAATAGGCTAAAAGAAGCATGAATACCAAAAAAATAAAATGCGGAAAAATTTTCTATATTGGGAATAAAAGTTGAAACATCTTAACTGACTCCATAAAGTTTTGATTCCAAATTACTCCCTAAAAAGATGCTTATCTTAAGTGAATATCAGCTCATAACAATAGGTAACATTGAAGATGTGCGATTGGTTTTATTAGAACAAATTCATGTTGATGTTCAATGGATTCCTAGAGAAGCAAATAAGGTTACACATACTTTAGCAAACTATGCTAAATCTACCAACTAACTGAATCTTTTTGGAATTCCCCCTGACTTTGTCAAATAAATTGTGTTGTATGATTTCCGGCTAACTTATTAATAACATTGGTTTTGCATTTTCTATATATATATACACACACACGCAATCCTCCCCACATATATATTCCGTGTAGATATGGGTCTTTATGAAATTATTGAAATTGTTATGGCCAGGCTGAATTCCTAATTTCAACCTAAGCTGATATCATATCCTATCCAATGAAGGAAAAAAAATCCTGAAAATGACAATAGCTGACTTATGAATTAATGAAAGAACACTTAAGAAATTAATTAATCTCCACCAAAATTAATGACGTGGAATCTATATTAATTTTTGTAAAGAATTCAATCCTGTGTTTTTGTAATGAGAAAGCAACAATAGCTGACTTATTCATATGTTGTACGGATATTCTTGAGAAATGCTTGTTGCTTTACTGGCCAAAAGTCAATGTTATTAGTAAAATCCCAAAGAGTCTTTTGGCTGAACAAGAAAAGAAATTAAATCCCACTACAAAGCCGTAGCACTGTAAAGCTGATCCGTGTTGAATTGCCCAAGTTGGGATGGACGAGCGGCCAATGACAATGACCAAGTCACCGGCAAATGAAAGAGACACCGTCAATTAACGCCAGACTGGATTGATTCTCCAGTTAATTTCACGGACAAATAAATCTTGTCATTTCTTTGAATACTCAAGTAGAAATTTTGTAAGCATGTGTCTTGGCATATCGAAGAGATGGTTGCTGTTGGTTATTAGTAGAATTTCAAGTACTTTCATCTGTTAAAGGTCATATAGCTGCGCAAGTATCTTTGAGTGACAAATTGGGATTTAATGTCTCTATATAGACTCAAGGCTCCAAATTGGTTCAGCCCAATGTTGTCCTTCGGTTCGATAAATTTTTGAGAATTAAGAGTCAAGCCACTTTATTTTCAAGTTGGGCTGTAGGTTCGAAAACTCTCTCACGTTACAGCATTAATATTTCATATTTGTGTCATCAAACAGAGCAATTGATTATTGAATTTTCATTAGGCACTCGTTAAAACATTTAAATCATACCTAAGTTATTATGTAAATACATACATCATATTTATTATACCTCTGAATTGGGATACTTTCAGATTGCCAAGGAAAGATCCTTTAAACTGTCCTGTGCACTAGGTTAGAAGTTCAAACACCGTTTAGTGTATCACACAAGAAGTATAGTACTTCTTGTTTTAAAAATTCAGAGAGTGCAACAGTGTACTTGTCCGGTTTGATTCTTCGCGCTCCTAACTCCCACACATGCCTCTTTAGACTCCCCCCAATAGAGTAGGAGTAGGGGTAGGTTAAATATTTTAGCAGATAAAAAAAGAAAAAGAATTGTAATACTTTTTCAAATTAACTATACTTTTCCAAAAACGGAACACTTGAGCCCCATTTAATCAATTGCCAATGGGTATCCTATACCCAAACTGTGATGGCCCGGTCTCCTCCTAGGGCATATCCTAGAAGTTAGCAGACTGCCCGCCTGGCTTTCGCCGGGACTCATTTACTAACATTAATTTCAGAGATAACAATTCTCATTAATCATCCAAGCATCCATTCTTAATACTTCTTAGTAAGACAAAAACTTTATCCACTACAAATTACAAAAGTGAATCATCCAAACGTTCATTCTTAAGTACATCACCAACTAGTGTGAAATATAAATCTATCTGTTAAGAGATACAAAATGCAGGTCTTAACATCAATATATAACATTAGACCTCCCAAAACACTCTAACTCTACTTGATCATCCTTCAGACTTCAACCCCTGTAAGGAAAACAAAACTAAATGGCTGAGCTAAAGCTCAGTGAGGCTTGCCAAGCAAGTTACATAAAATAAACACTTAAATCAGTACAATTAAGCAAGTAGTACACATTTCACTGTACAATCACTTTCATTAAGTAATTGAGAAACACTTCGCTAAACAATCACTTTTAAAAGGATACGGTGCTCGCATTAGAGCTACTTCAATGTCATTGAGCATTCATTTCAGTGTCAAGAGACATTCATTTCACTGTCATTGTACATTCATTTCAATATCACTGAACATTCTGCCAATTCACTTCCTTATGTCCTCCAAAACAATAAACAATTCACTACATTCAATAATCAGTTCAATAATCTCCCAACCTCATGATAATACTCGAGTATATCGAAACATTTGCCCAAAGCTGCCGTTCTACCCGACCAAGCCCTTTGCTGGCTCGAATAGTCCATTGAATAGAGGGTTTTCGGGCCCAATTCAGCCAATGTGATAAAATACACACACGGCTTACAGTCATGCACACTTACAATATCACTTGATCAATTATCAACCTTCAAACTCAACTAAGGCGAGTGCGATAAAGTACACCCTCGGCTTAGAAGGCAAGGGACAATTGAGATACACTTTGCAATGAATCACTTAGCAATATTTCATAATAAGCACATTTATCACATAATTTCACTTAAGTAACATAAACAGTTAAACATATAAATTCGGAAACACTCACCGTAATCAAAAATTACACTTCGATCTCGGAATTGCTTTCTTGCACACCTCTATCTCCTAAGACAAGTTATAATAGCCATAATCATTTAACTACTCATTTGGTGAGGTTCTAAAGTATAATCAACATACGTGTTGTATTCTAGCCTTAAGTCACCATTCCAGCTGAATTCTCAGCTATTGCTTTGTTTAAATGAGGCGACTAGTGCATTTCTTACATTCACTCGTCACTTCGACTTTTAGTTTTCAAAAGAGAGGAAGTTTAAGTGGCAATTCCAGTATTGTGACTTCAGTACTTTTATACTGCTAGATTTATCGTACTAAAACTCAACATTAACCTTTAATAAGGTAAATTTTAGAAATAACTACCTTTAAGGTACTTTATTGTCCTATAAATCTCTTTTACTTACTTATGATCATGAGTAAAACTAGTTTATTACCTTGACAGTGAACATACAATGCTTATAAAGCCGTTTGAATCATGTTTTATTTGTATATCTTTTCATATAAGTTTTATAGCCTTTTAGATCCCTATAGTTGATATAACAACTGTTCTCATCCATTTATCCATTTATCTTTATGTCCGACTGCTAATTACTCACCAATTTAAGGTTTAAATTACTAGAACTCAAGTCCCTTAGCTTGTCACACAAGATGCAACAATTCCAGCAACCTTCCTCACATTTCTCTTCAAGATTCATCAAATTTATCAACTCAAACAAGGGAAATATTCATGTATACCAAATTTAAGGTCTTGTAAGGTGTTTAAACTAAGGTTAAACTATTTTCATGCCAAATTTAAAGATTAAGGTTAGTGAACTTTTCATTTCTTTCCTTTTAAGCTAAACCAGATTCTAGTTTGCTTGTTGTTTAAATTTGCTCCAATTCACCAGCTTTTCAAGTGTTAAAATCAATAAGATGTACATGAAAACTAGGACAAGATGTTATAAGATGTTTTACTTAAGATTACAGCCAATTATCATGGAATTTTCGAAATTAACATGAGAGTTTCAGCCTTCACCCTCTCTCGGCCAGCAAAACAGATTTTCCAGCAACATTACTCCAAAATTTTCAACAAGGTTTCCATCCTTTGCTTGCTTTAAACACTAAACACTTAACATACATTCTGTCCAATATGAAATGAATCATATAACAGGTAATTGCAGCAAATTATTCCACCAAGAAGTCCCCATAAATCTGTCATCAGCTA